TACTTATTGGATTTTCTTCTAAGCACAGTGCTTTGAGGATGACTTTATCTGTTAGAAAGTTAAAGCTGAATTGAATTGGTTGTATTGCTGCTTATGTATTAACATTATTTGTGGGAGTCAATTGTAGTACACTCAGGATTTTCCTAAAGCAGGTATTTTCGATTATATTTATTTTATCTATCACATAGTTGTTGCATTACATTGGGAGTCAAAAGTCTATGATGGGTCTGATCATGTTTAGGAATAGAAGGCGGGGAATATTTTGGTTAATACCCCACGTTGCGCCAGGAGGTAAGATAGGATATTCAGTTTTTGATCTTGAGTCTTTCGTTGGATTTTTGAAATTCCGAATAACTTCAAAATGGCACCGGAAAATGGCGAAAACTTAAAATTACAGACGTTTACGGTTGGATTCGCATGAAACTCGGCCGCCATTTTGAAAGTGTGCAACATTTCAAAAATTTAAAGCAAGAGAGTCATTCTTTTCGAAGCAGAAAACAACAAAACCCCGAGTTTCATGCGAATCCAACCGTAAACGTCTTTAATTCCAAGTTTCCGCCATTTTTCCGGCGCCATTTTGAAGTTATTCAGAATTTCAAAAATCCAACGAAAGATTCGTTTTTCTTATGCCTAAATACCCCCCCCCCCCCCNAAATGCAAAGTTTCATACAAATCCACCGATAAATAGCCTAAATATTCCCTTACCGCTCTAGGTCGCCATTTTGACCGCCGCCATTTTGAGAAGGACAGGATGTCCGGAAAACTAATGCCAGAATCGTTTTCCTCGTCCCAATAAACCTGCGGATACCAGTTTTTGTCCCAATCCTTCCAAAAAACGGAGATTTCAAAGAGCTTGATGCAAAAACGGCTTTTTTCGCCCCCCTCTGGAAGTTCTTCAGACTTTGTCTATTGATTACTCATACTTGAGCGCTTCTTTTCCCAAATTTTCAGACCCCCAAAAAATTTTGGGGGGGAGCTAGGGGGGGTGGAAGTCAAAACCTGTGAACCTCGATATCTCTTGAACAAAGAAAGATATTGAGGTCCGATTTGGACGAAAAATCGTCTAAAATTGCATACTTTAAGATTCGAAAGGTCGAAATCCCGATATCACATTTTTAGTTAACATATGTACTTTTTTCCAGTTTTTAGGTCAAGCAAATTTCTTTTAAACGAAAAATTTACAAAGATCTCAATTTTTTATTTGAACCAAAACCAGTTTCTTAAATTGTTCGTCTTTTTCCGCATCCAACGAGTGGTCGCATAAGCTGGGGAACCGAACGGTTCCGGAGTTATGATCGATTGAAGTTTTCGCTCAACGCGCGCCGACCGATTTTCGCGCGCAAAAAAGTTGGATTTGGCTGTTATTAGATCAGATTGAATGTTCAAACTGAGCAAAATGCTTTATTAGGGACTCTTGAGGGTCGCTGAGTTCAGGTTTTACCGATACTTCCAAAAAATTCACGTTTTTAAAATTACAGCTCCGCAGCGCTATTTTAGAGGCCCACTGAGCGCCGACCGGCCGCTCAGTGGTCCTGTCCGAAGCTGCAATTTTAAAAACGTGAATTTTTTGGAAGTATCGGTAATTTCTGAACTCAGCGACCCTCAAGAGTCCCTAATAAAACATTTTGCTCAGTTTGAACATTCAATCTGATCTAATAACAGTCAAATCCGACTTTTTTGCGCGCGAAAATCGGTCGGTGCGCGTTGAGCGGAAACTTCAATCGATCATAACTCCGGAACCGTTCGGTTCCCCAGCTTATACGACCACTCGTTGGATGCGGAAAAAGACGAACAATTTAAGAAACTTGTTTTGGTTTAAATGAAAAATTGAGATCTTTGTAAATTTTTCGTTTAAAAGAAATTTTCTTGACCTAAAAACTGGAAAAAAGCACATATGTTAACTTAAAAATGTGATATCGGGATTTTGACCTTTAGAATCTTAAAGTATGCAATTTTAGACGATTTTTCGTCCAAACAGGACCTCAATATCTTTCTTTGTTCAAGAGATATCGAGGTTCACAGGTTTTGACTTCCACCCCCCCTAGCTCCCCCCCAAAATTTTTTGGGGGTCTGAAAATTTGGGAAAAGAAGCGCTCAAGTATGAGCAATCAATAGACAAAGTCTGAAGAACTTCCAGAGGGGGGCGAAAAAAGCCGTTTTTGCATCAAGCTCTTTCCATTGGTTTGAACTTAGACCGGCCGCCATTTTGTCAAAAAATAAGATTTTGACTTGCCGTTTGCGCCAAAAATTTTCTTTTTTATCTTCTTTCGAGTGATGTGTCACAATAGGGGGTTGCTATTTGAAAAAAAAGTTGGAGTCCGCAGCCCCTCCCCACGGGGGGGCCCCAAAAGTAGGTAACATTGATCGATGAACATCTCCAAAGTTTCATTTCAAAATATTAATCAGGTAAAATTTTAGAGGGGTGGAAGGGACTTTTGGGACACCCTGTATTTCTCGGTTTATTTTTTCCCGTAGCCTGTGCTTTGAATCCTGAATCATTTTCATGTTGAGCTTCCAGTGTGCATAATCACTTCTGAGAAATGAGGTTGAACACCACCTCGCCATAAGTACTTTTTTGTTACTAATGTTTGGGGACCCTCCCCCCCCCTCTTAGATTTAAGTGCAAGACAAGTAGTCAATTAGCTTACAATGAATCATGTTAACAGTTCAGAGTGACGTATAAAGCAGCATTTGTTGTTGAACTGTCCTCATCAAACTCTCCCTGCAGAATAATCGTCAAGAATATGCCTTGAAATCATGTTTTTGTAATTTTTGGAGGTACTGGGAGGCTGTGGAAAAACGGCAAGGGCCCTGATCGCTCCAAAATTTCACAGGGATTCCGGAAATGGTGCTATACGTAGCAATGAGAGCAACCGTTTTTGTGTTATGGGTGGAAAACCGATGTTTGGGCACTTACCTCCTCCCCCCCCCCCAAAAAAAAAGAACCCCCTAACCCGTCACGCTATCGATGAGAGACTTTTTTTTGGGGGACTCAGGGAGTCGTAAGGACTCACGATGCCAAAAATCAGCTTGACATTAATTTTTTCTCTTAACTTTTACATAATGAGTCAGTTGCGCCAGTCATAGGACTGTGTTTTGATGCTCGATTCTTGTAGATCGGCTAAAAGTAACAAGATCTACCCAACAGCAATTTTCTACACTCATTATTAACCGAGATATCGCGCTTTGAAAAATTCGTTTTATGACGTCATCCACAGCGATAGTGGCACCCTTGGTTTCTTCCACCTTAATTTCGTCAGTGGTGTGGCGCACATTTGCATTGATTATTCAACGTGGAACTTCGATGAAAGTAAGGTAGAAGAAACCAAGGGTGTCACTACCGCGGTGAATGACGTCAAAAACCCTACTTTTCAAAGAGCGATATCTCTAGCGTTAAAATTGAACGTAGAAAGTTGCCGTTGGGACAGATCTTATTATTCTAAGCTAATCTATAAGAATCAAGCGTCAAAGCACGATTCTGTGACCAGCGCAACCGACCCATTGCTGGACTACAAGAATTGCCAAAACTGAACTATCCGCTTGTCCAGATCGTTCATAATTACTTGTGTTTAAATGGGTGATGCGTGACGCCGTTGTTGTTGGTCTGCTTTTTCTTCTGAATTTTAGTCAGTTTCTTACAGTTTTGTTGATTTAATCAGCATTTTGGTGCTCTGATCTTTGGATTTTCAAAATTTTGGCAATTTTATATTGGTCTGTTTTCGAAAAATTTACCTCTTAAATTCCTTTAATGCTTTGCTTATAGACGTGTTTTTGCGCACTTCAAATCGCGTGACCAATCAGAAATGGACCTTGTGCCTCCAAATGCTTTTTGGTACGACGATCTCAGATTGCATTTCGTCAATAGTTCATTTTTTGATTGGTCGATCGCCTCTCCGCATCAGACAGGAATGCGAACCCACTTCGATACTAGGTTACCCTAGCAGTGCATATGCTACATTAGAGAAAACTGTTCTCCATGACCAATAGATTACAAATTGATGTATGTTTAATTTCCATAAGGCAAAAATGTTGGAAAGAGAGAAAAATGATCTTGCTCAATCGATTCGAAAGAAGTTACTCGTTATATTAAACCAGGATTATTTGTGCTGTGAGTCACTCGACAAGGTATTAGAACCTGAAAAAAATGTCACATATGTTTGTTTCAAAATCTAAAAAAACAATTTACAGAATTGGAAGGTTGGAAATCAATTCCTGAATGAGAAATCAACTTGTATTTTTGCCCTTAATCAACGTTAATTGTAAATACTTTTATCTTGTTCTGTAATTGATTCCTAGTAAGCTGATAATTGAAATTGATAGACAGAACTATAGAAAAAGGAGACAAAAAGAAAATGGAGCGATCTCATTGGTTGAAAGGGATGGATCTTATAGATTAACAGAGAGAATGATGGACTAACTGTAAGGTCTTTTGTGGGTTGCCGTTAGTTAGTCTATCACTTACCTTTTTTGTCCATTGTAACCTCCCGCTGTTACCTATAGGATCCCTCTATTTTTGTCTATCACTTTGTCCATCAATTTCAACTATCAGCCCGCAGGTTCGGCAATGTTCGATTTGTTTTCCTCCTGATATTATGAAGAGGAAACATGTTTTTTTCTTCCTATCTTGTCTGAAGGCCCATTATCAAGCAAATTCGGATGAACCAAGAGCCATGTCTTATCCAAATTTTCTCCCACTGTGAGTCATCCTGTACCTGTGAGGAGTGGATTATTCCTGGAACATGCTATACCCAAGATTGGTTTTTTATCCAACCCTGGGTTCGGCACTGCTGCCGTCATTGGCTGTCGCCATCAGTGGACTCCTGTGACCTGTTTTTACACAGCTGTTACATCATATTACAGGAGCTCACAAAAGTTTTGAAGTGTGATTAAACCTGTGATTTCATTTCCTTCTTATTCAAGATTGATCAGTTATTAACTTGTATTTTATCTTGTTTATTTTTATCTATTTTTTTTTTTTTTTTTTTTTTTTTTTTTTTCAGAGTGCCTATAATTTTGAAGTTGAACTAAGTAGATTACACGAAGACAGTTTGCGCAAATTAGTCATTCAGGATTTTCATAAATCTAATTTAAAAGGTAAGCTTATACCCTGTAATTAAATCGCAAGAAGCTTATTTAAATACCTAACTTCCTGCTCAGTGCTTTCCTTTTGATGAGTAGAGTAAATTAATGACTTATAATTTAAGGAACCTATAGAGCACCAAAAGTCCCTCAAATTTAAGCAGGTATAGAATCTGGTCCAAGAATTTTTATCTGTAGTATTAATGAGGAAAGACAAACTAAAAGTTTTGTATAAATACAAACTTTAAATGACAATTTCAAGAATACTAAACTTTGCCGAGGTTTCCCCTATACAAGAAATTAATGTGAAAAATAAAAATGTTCATATCAACAAAACGGAAAATAACAGATAAATTCCAAAATAGGTTAGTGGCAAGAAACTTTTACAGAGTTTTAATATAGTTTTATTTACTTAAAATTTCGTGAAGAAATCTATCAGTGCATCGAAAAGTTCAATAAATCATCTCTCGTGGGGAGAAAAAGGTAATCAAAATCCAACAGTCGAGTTAATGTAGCAAGGCGATACTAGAATGTGAATTCAGCCAAATAGCAAACACTGTCTGGCTACATCATTAGCGTCTGCCAAAAGTATCATATTAAATGGGTCCCATTTTTGGCTATTTTGAAACAGGGTTTCTTTACTATTTAAGGTGTATAAAAATCTTTTAACCTCATAAGGAACTTAGTTCACTCCATATTTTCAGGAAATGAATCAGAAGTAATGGATGCCACCGGTCCATTTCAGAGAATATAAAATAAATATTTTAATAAATTATAAAATTTTGATTCCGTCTATAAACCAGTATTTTTTACTGATCTACTTTGAAAGGTGGTCTTACTGGCTGGCTTAAATATGGCTCACTCATATTCTAAGAAACTTTTTCTTTAAGTGTTAAATCATATACCTAGGCATTTGTCAATGCTCTTTTATTTTATTTTTTCAAACCAAGACTTCGAAGCTGTTTTAGAGTAGACTAGCAGTCCTCCTGTGCTCCGCACGGGCAACCCTGACTTCTGCAAATACTAAATTCAGTTCATATGTAAAATTTTTATTAATATGAATGAAAATCGACTAATAGAATTTTGATGCTGCTTTATTTTATACAGCACATAAGTATTTTGCTACAGTAATAAGTATACTTATATCTTAGTTCAATACGTTCTTGTAAACTATGTTTCGAGTTTTTCCATTTGGAGTGAAGACATGCAAATTTCTATCGCTTGGAACTCAGGAGCATGCAACATAAAGTGGACCGTGAGAAAAACATGGTTCTTTCACATTGACCATATCATTTTTTTTACAGTTTGAGCATCACTTTTTTTGAAGATTTTATACCTTTTTTTTTTTTTTTTATTTTATTTTATTTTGGATTAGAGAGTGAAAACTGACAACTTTCATGACAAATGAATTGCTTCCAGCGAAAGTCTTAGAAAATAAAATATGACACCATCAGGAATTGACAGAAAAATGGTCTAAATTTTTGATGACCTTTTTTTACTTGTTATACTTGCTTCAATGAAAAAAGAACTACTGTTCTGAAATTGGCTAAGTACATTCTAACAACAAAACGACGATTCATGATGAAGCTGAGAGCTCAAAACACTACTTAATAAATTATTTTTGGTTCATAAAAACAAAACAAAAAATGGTAAAAAAACCAGGAACTTTTAAAAATGCCATGAGACTTATTCATCACTTCAACTGCTGCACAAATTATAGCAAATCTTGGAAAGGGTTCTTGAGTTGCGGTGTATCATATTTGCAGGGTATCAATAAAGATTTTATACCTTGAATTTTCATTTTTCTACGATTTTTGCGTAAAACTGAGGACAAATTTGTTTTTTACCTTTCAGGCATTTTGTGCCAGAAAAAGAAATGCAGAAAAATTGACACAAATATTTGTAACAGCTTAATGAAACAGCGTTGCACCAAATAATTTAATAGAAATAAGAAAAATCCAAGAGGAATGAAATGAACATTTCAGGATACGAAAGAAAGGTCATAAAAAATATAAAAACGGCAACACTAAAAACAGCTGACAAAAAGCTGAAGTGCAGAAATTTTGTTGTTATTTTTTTTTTTTTACGTTTTCAAGCAGACATTTCGTTTTAGGGAAATTAATGCTTTCACTTCCCTCCTTCCCGGCCGTCACAAAATAATTAGAAACGTTTACTCCCCCACCCTCCAAGCTGCCCTACCAAAATAATTAAGAACGAACATATCAGATTCTTAGTAAATGCTGAAAAGCGAGAACTACCCTCAGCGTATCCAACAAAAAAGTAAGCATGGAAATACAGAGGGGGGGGGGAGACGCTGTTCAGTCGAAAAAACAAAGGACTACGTGCAAAACGGGCCATTTGGGGCTCGGGGCCGATACCTTTGAGACTTGCCCTATTCATTCACTTAACAATGCCCCATCTTTTCCCAAAGTTTCAAGCCTCCCAAAAATTTTGGGGAGAAGCAGCTAGGAGTCAAAGTTAAAAACCGGCAAAATTTTCGCGACTTTATTGCTCGAAAACCAAGAAGTTTTGAAAAACGCGGTTTAAACGAGCGTATTCAGCGTGATGAGAGCTTTCAGAAAATGTATAACATCATAGGGTTTTGTCAACTTCAGCTTGAGTTATCGCCTCCGAAGCGCTGGAACACTCAAAAAAGACCCCTTATTTTTTCACGTTCGGGCCGATTTAAAAAAAAGGTCATTTTTTACTTTGATGAAAAACTGATATGTTGTTCCTGACTCGCTGTAGCCCCTCTAGCTCTTTACCGCATGCTGGGGAAATGTTTTGGTCGTGAGTTATAAGAGCGGAAAGGAGTAGAGGTCGGGAAAATCGGCTATTTTAAACTGCGCGCGAAGCGTTGATCGGAAGGAAAACGTCCCCTCCCACCAAGTTCGGCGAATCAAACTCCTCTGCCGACCTCGCATAGTTGCCACATGTCTCCTGATCCGTCGCCGCGCGCAGTTTAAAATAGCCGATTTTCCCGACATTCGCTCCTTTCCGCGCTTATAACTCGCGACCAAAACATTTCCCCGGCATGCGGTAAAGAGCTAGAGGGGCTACAGAAAGTCAGGAACAACATATGAGTTTTTCATCAAAATTAAAAAATGGCTTTCTTTTAAATCGGCCCGAACGTGAAAAAATAAGGGGTCATTTTTGAGCGTTCCGGCGCTTCGGAGGCGATAACTTGAGCTGAAGTTGACAAAACTCTATGATGTTATACATTTTCTGAAAGCTCTCGTCACGCTGAATACGCTCGTTTAAACCGCGTTTTTCAAAACTTCATGGTTTTCGAGCAATAAAGTCGCGAAAATTTTGCCGGTTTTTAACTTTGACTCCTCGCCGCTTCTCCCCAAAATTTTTGGGAGGCTTGAAACTTTGGGAAAAGATGGGGCATTGTTAGGTGAATGAATAGGGCAAGTCTCAAAGGTATCAGCCCTGAGCCCCAAATGGCCCCTTTTGCACATAGTCCTTTTAAAAATAGAAATTTATCTCAACAGCAATAACATCAGCTGATGCGTCAGGCGCAACCATGGAAACAGAAAAAACGCTTTGAAATTGCATAAATAACGTATATACCACTGCTGGTCGCACGCCTATACGTCTTTTAGCTTTTTTTACCAAATATCGAAGACTATTCAAAAGAGCATATCTCTGGCTCCTGGACTAAAAAATTTCGTTTTTTTACCGCTTACCGGTATACAGACTGGGTCCGCAAACCACACCCACCCTATGTAAAACAGACGCGTAAAAGAGTCACGCTTGCAAAAATCGCACCAGGGTCTGACGAAGCGGTCAGAAGTTAAATCGGTACGCGTTTTGAATTTTCGGATTTATATATGTGTTATATATATATAATAAAGCGAACTTCATGAGTTGTATAACCGTAACTTTTTATTTATTTTAAACAAAAAATTTTTTACAATGCGACGTTTCGGTGGCTTATTATTCCCACCATCATCAGGCAAAGACTGAGGCGACAAAACAAGGAAAAACAAGAAATAAACACCTAGTCCTCCGATCCAACACGGTCAGGGAAGAGAGGAAAAGATAGTTACAATCTAACGAACATTACAAACATTGTTGCCTGAGTTACAGCTATTAATAAACTTTGATGGTCAACAATTAGAAAGTATCGGTACCTACCAAATAATCCTCAAAATGGGAAAATTCTGTCCTTGAATTCAGGGCGTTGCTATTTTTAAGAATGCTTAACCCTTCTAAATTTAAACGGACCTGCTCATTTTTCTCTTGTTTTAGTACTCTGGTGTTATCGTAATCAAATTGATGGTTTGTTTCTTTTACATGCTGCTTAAGTGCCGTTTTTTCATGCTTATTAAACTTGTGTCCGTCAAGGCGCTTATGTACATTAGGGTGGCCCAATTATACACAGCAAAATTTATTTTGCGAAATTTTTCGGTCTTACCCCCTAGAACTGTTCCATTTGATCAAAAAACACTCTCTGCCAAGTTTCAGCCAAATCGGATAATATTAACCCGTGCCGACAGAGCCATCTTTTTTATATGGGATTTTACATTGAAAAATACTTTTTTCTGGAAAAATCCATTTTTCGAAAAATGTGTAATTTCTAGAAAAAAATCTGAGGTCATATTCGGCTTCAGCAGGAAAAATTGAGTGGGGAAACATGTATTAGACACTTCAAAAAAAAATTTTTACCCCTCGTTATAGCGGCGAAACAACTGAAACACCTAGAAAGCCCTAAAAAAGGGTAAAATGACGGTGATAAAACCCAAATAATTACGTGCGTCTGCATCTGAAAACGAAGCTCATCACATGGTAGGTGTTTCGTGGGTGCTTTTTTACGCTGAGTCCGAAAATGCTATCCATTTTCCTCTATTTCATCAGAATTTTCCGGAAAATCGATTTTCTTGTATAAAAAGAGGGTTTTCCGGGGAAAACTCAATTTTCAAGACATGAACTTCAACATGTGACGGATGTGTTTTATGTGTTTTTTAACGCTGAGTCCGAAAATGATGTCAAAGTTGCTCCAGTACATCGGGCTTTTCCGGAAAATCGATTTTCTTGTATAAAAAGAGGGTTTTCCGGGGAAAACTTAATTTTTAGGAAAGGAACGATCGACTTGTAATAGATGTTTTGGTGTATTGTTTAACGGTGAATTCGAAAATCATAACCATTTCCCTCTATTCCACTAAGAGTTTCTGAGGAACTAAATTTTTCTCATAAAAAAGGTAATTTTCCAGAGAAAACTCGGCACAATCGATTTCCCGGAGAATCCCGATGTATTGGAGCAACTTTGACATGATTTTCGGACTCAGCGTTAAAAAACACATAAAACACATCCGTCACATGTTGAAGTTCATGTCTTGAAAATTGAGTTTTCCCCGGAAAACCCTCTTTTTATACAAGAAAATCGATTTTCCGGAAAATCCTGATGAAATAGAGGAAAATGGATAGCATTTTCGGACTCAGCGTAAAAAAGCACCCACGAAACACCTACCATATGATGAGCTTCGTTTTCAGATGCAGACGCACGTAATTATTTGGGTTTTATCACCGTCATTTTACCCTTTTTTAGCGCTTTCTAGGTGTTTCAGTTGTTTCGCCGCTATAACGAGGGGTAAAAATTTTTTTTTGAAGTGTCCAATACATGTTTCCCCACTCAATTTTTCCTGCTGAAGCCGAATATGACCTCAGATTTTTTCTAGAAATTACACATTTTTCGTAAAATGGATTTTTCCGGAAAAAAGTGTTTTGCAATGTAAAATCCCATATAAAAAAGATGGCTCTGTCGGCACGGGTTAATATTATCCGATTTGGCTGAAACTTGGCAGAGAGTGTTTTTTGATCAAATGGAACAGTTCTAGGGGGTAAGACCAAAAAAATTCCGACATCGCCAAATTTGGGCCACCCTAATGTACATACTGTGAAGTCTGCCCAATGTAGACCCCTGGGCACCCTTTGCATGGGATTTCATAAACCACGTCGGACATTTTCTCGTTTGGGATTTTGGTTTTTAGAGCTGATTTAAACCCTTTCAAATTACACTTATTTGTTGTTACTAGCGATAATCCAAATGGTTTTATTGCGGCACTTAATTTTTCAGAACATGAGGACAAATATGGTCCAACCACCGTCTCTTCTTTTTCCCTATTTTTGCGAGGGGGGAAACCGTTGTAGCAAGAATTTATTACCTCTGCAAAAATTGACTCGATAAGTGACCACGGGTAACAATTCTCAATCAACAATTGCTTTGCCTCTTTTATTTTGTCTTTTCTGAGCAAAGGATGTGTCAACAAACATACACGCGTTGCAAGATTTTTTACCACATTGATTTTTTGTGGAAGTGGTTGCACAGACAAAAAATTGAGGTATCTACCAGAAAATATTGGTTTTTTAAACCATGACGTGATCAATTTCCCTCTGTTTTTTATGACAGTGACATCCAAGAAATTTAAAGAGTTGTTGACTCCACGCTCGAGTGTAAATTTGATATTGCTCGAAAAATTATTGAAAAAATGGAAAACATTGTCAAGATCATCTTTGTGACAGCATAAGATAATATCGTCTGCAAAACGTTTATAGAATAGCAATTTATAAGGGAACACTTGAAATAATTTTTCCTCAAAGTATTCCATTACCAGGTTGGCAACATTGGCGCTTACTGATGACCCCATTGCCAAGCCGTTTATCTGCTTGAAGCATTCTTCGCCGAAAGTGAATACTGTTGACTCTAAACATGCTTTAATGCCGGCTAAAAATTGATCCTCTGGCAACGTTGTATGGGGAGCAATTGTCATCCATTTTTCTTTAATAACATCAAGGGCTAGTTTTATCGGAATATTTGTGTACATAGACACAACGTCTAATGAAGCTAAAACAAAGTCATCAGGTACTGATTGGGTTTTGAGAAAATCTACGAATTCATAAGTATTCTTGACAGTGTTCCCACTTTTCCCTACAACTTTCTCCAGAATATTTCCAAAATACTTAGACATATTATAAAACGGACTTTTTAAGGCACTTACAATTGGACGAAGTGGCATCCCCTCTTTATGAGTTTTGACCAACCCATAAATTCGGCATAGAATTGCGTTCACAATTGTTAAATTTTGCAACGTAATTGCAATTGTTGACCATCAAAGTTTATTAATAGCTGTAACTCAGGCAACAATGTTTGTAATGTTCGTTAGATTGTAACTATCTTTTCCTCTCTTCCCTGACCGTGTTGGATCGGAGGACTAGGTGTTTATTTCTTGTTTTTCCTTGTTTTGTCGCCTCAGTCTCTGCCTGATGATGGTGAGAATAATAAGCCACCGAAACGTCGCATTGTAAAAAATTTTTTGTTTAAAATAAATAAAAAGTTACGGTTATACAACTCATGAAGTTCGCTTTATTATACCTAAAATAACCATGAAATTAGACTTTATATATATATATATGTGTGTGTGTGTGTGAGGGTGTGTGTGTGTGTGTGTAGGATAGGATTCTTAGCCTTGATTCAGATGAGCATCTCTGATATTCTCGATCACCTCGGATTTCTCTGGAAAATTGAATTTGTTTCTTGAGTGTGCAGTTTTTGGGAGAAAATTTAGAGCTCCCTCTTGAACCCAATCTGATCAAGATAAACAGATCATTTTCGGAATCAGCACTAAAAATTTTCTCAGTGACAAATGCTGAGTTGATTGGAAGTTGAACTTCTTTGACCAATGTCGTTTTTTAAGGAGTGAAATGTTTAGATCTTGAGGCAAAATAAAGACAATCTGAATAAAATCCAGAGGGGAGAATCAGAAAAGGCTCCAAAATGTTTGAGCTTCTCAGAAAAACTGAACAAAATTTTTTAGGGTTGGGGCTTTCAAGAAGAATGAAAATGTTACTCAGTAAGGCAATGAATCTATATTAGGACCGCGTTTAACAGAAAGAAACCAAGTCACATCAGCTATTGCTAAATTTAACTGGGTAATCTAATTTTTTACAAGAGAACGTTTGTGTGGATTCCTTTGAAAATTTGAAGGAATTTGTATCGTGCTACGGAAAAAATCCACTCACATCTGCAAGAAAATCCGTACAACCGTTTTCATGTAAAAAATTGAATTGCCCAATTAAATTTGGCAATAGCTGATGTGGCTTGGTTCCTTTCTGTTTAATGCGGTCCATGTAAGTTGTGCCATTCTGACAGTGGCTGTGATGGCTGAGCGTACAGTGGTGTCATTAGATTACCACCAGACAATTTTACTTACAGCTTACGGAAAATTTTTTTTAATCAAACAAATTCTATGTCTCAAGAGCTTGAAGACAGTACAAATTCTGCTAACGATTTTCATTTTGTGAATCTAGCACTTCAAAGTTGAAAACTCAAAGTTCAGTTGCCACCCTTTTAATTTGGTATATCCATTGTTTGGGGCCTAATCAGAAATGTCGATTCTTCTTAGAATGTTCTAAGTATTACTTAGTTACATACCAAACAGCCTCAAAATTCTTAGAAAATTATTTTTTGCAATTTCATTTTGGATCTTAACCATCGCATTAATACTGTAGGAGGAAATAAGAAATCTATGAGAATTGATTGTATGAGCAAAAATCTGCATTCACGAAATAAACAACTTTTATACAGATGCCACAAAGATCAAATGGACTTGACAGGCATGACAATATCCTATATACATTCATGGAATTTCAGCAGCAGTACGAACAAGCTGGCAAAACATTGCCCAACAGAAAGGCTTAAGATGGCAGCAAAAAAAGCTTCAGAACACTCTTCAAAATACGTGCGAGAGTGATATCTTTTTTTATTCACATTAGAGTGTGTTATTAGAAACATCGAAAATTACTTTTTCATTTTGAAGTCTGCTTTTCATAATTATTCACGTTTTGACAGTTTCCAAACTCTTCCAGGAAAACAAAAACTTCAGATAACTCCATTTTTTGAGTGTTGCATCTTGAATGTTTTGTATGAAGCATTCGCTATTTCACTTTTTATCACTCTCATGTTGCAGATCTGGATAAAACTGAGGAGTTTGTGAATGTTTGCAAAGGTTGCATTCCCAAAATTGTCAGTCTCTTAAACTTACCTCCTGAGGATGTCATACTGTATTTAGCAGAATATGCTTTATGCCTCAATGACTTCAGTTCAGCCGCCATGATCATGAGGTAGTACTAATTTTGACAATGAGTTACTCATTAGAGAGTAGATCTAGGAAACAGAACTTTACCTTCCTTAAAGCATAAATTGAGTCACATTTACCACAGCAGAGAGGTTTTACAAACGACCGTTTTGGGCCTAATGGGCGACTAGTCACGGTCTGAACTAGAAAATGACTGAACTATTTCTCTTCAAAACCTCATAATGTAATTATGTAATGTGTACACCTTGTAATGTATTGACACTTCGAACTTCGGAAGTTCGGGAAGCAACTTCTGAACGAGATACTCACAAGTATTTCTAACATAGATCAAATGGAAATTTTATTATACAAATGTTATGCCTTTCATATTTTTGCCATCCAACTAGTGTCAATCAGAAACACTTAAATCACTTATAGGCTTTAACTGCTAGACTTCCAGTCGTTTGATTCGTTCTCCCTGTGAAATTTTGAGTAGAAGTTTTGTTGCATGGTGTTTTAATTCATACTTTGTCTTTAAGCCCACTGGATCTACGTTGACTAAAAATTAACAGAGGTATGATGCTCTGAAGTTTGCCTGTCAGGAGTGGCATACATATGTGCCTGAAGCATCGCGACTCGTTTTTCATTCATTTTCAAAATTTACATACATTTTTCATTTGGTCATCAGTAGTGGCTGGATTTGTTCATTTTTCAACTTAAGCTTCAAGTTTTTCGGTTATCATTTAGCCATAACCCATGAAACCAATGACCAGACTTGCAACTGATAGCTCCACTGATTATAGCCAGGCAATCGCGTATAGTCTTGTCGTCTCACCACCGATGACGTCAACAAGTCCACAGAATCGTGTGCTGCATGCAGTGTTCCAACTTCACCTCCAAGTTTTAGGAGCCGTTTGGCCCATCAAGTTCAATTTTTAGGGGCCATTGAAGATTTTTTAGGGGCCAAATTGAATTTTTGCCTATATATCACGGCGCATTTAGTGAAAAGTTATACGCAAGATATACAGTTACAGGACTTGCAAGTTGCAGCTCGCAGCCATTACTTGGGAAAGGGAAAGGCCAAAGGAATGATATTCCGATTTAAAACAAGGAGCTTTTAGTTTACTTAAAGTTTGTTCAATTAAATAATACTTTTTCTGACTTCCTATTATGAAAAGTAGTAGAACGATTCTATAGTATGTACGATAAGTAGTACGATTCTCGATCTGCTGAGCCGCTGCCGCTACGAAGTTCCGCGCGCAACTGCTTGCCATGCGCGTTCAGTCCAGGCTGACTGACAAAAATCTTGAAATCATCAAACCGTAATTTAGGATTGCGACAATTTTCTAGGGGCCACGTTTGGCGCGCAGGGTCTTCATTTTTTAGGGGCCACGGCCGATTTTTTAGGAGCATTTGGCGACATGGCGCTCGTGGGGTTGGAACACTGGCTGCATGTTTATCTCGTTCTTTTTTCACTTATGACCCTCGGAACTCCAAGAAGCCATTTTTGCTCTTCGGCTTTTCTAAGTGTGATTTTCAGTTTTGTAAACTCGTGTAAAATCTAAAATTCAATACAAACAAACCCTTTGGCCATTAAGTTTTGTTCTTTCATCATCTTACACCCTCCCACATTTTTCAACTCCTTCTTGTACGCAATGAGTGAAAACCCTACTGGTTTCTTCTCTTAATCTTGACATGGTGCATACACCTGTATAGTACGTTGCAAAGGTTTGCAAGGTTCATCCAAAGGTTCTCTCCTCCCCCCNCCCCCCCCCCGTCTATGAAAGACACACACACATTTCATCTTTAACATTTTCTCTTCTCAGGCCCTCTAGCCCAGTCTCCTAAGTGAGGCTCAAGGCCATTCCTCCTCCTCCTCCTCCTCCTTTCTTCTTCCCCAACAGCAACCATGAAGGTCAATCCAACAATAATTTGGTACTAAGGAATCAAAGGATTCACAACTCACACATTTGGAATATCATCACCTTGGGGGGATGAAAAGAATGCTTTTTAAGTATAACATCGATTTTCCAAACCTAAGCAATGGTGAAATTAGGCGAGGAGAAGTAAAACTGGCATTAAGAGGAGGACATATGGTTGAAACTGAGCATCAAAATCTTGAGATACAAGTATAATAATTACCGCTAATAAGATCTACTGGCTGTAGCTGCATTCTTGAGGAAGGGCGTTGGGGTTAGGGTGAGTCAAAAAACATCGACTTTCGAATTTCAAGAACGTACAGGGGCGAAGAGTTGCGCCTAGGCATCAAACTAAAGTGTGCTAAAGCGTTCCTCGAAAAAAAAATGTCTGGGGGTGCCTCCTCTGCACTTTGTGTCAAAAAATTACAGGATTCAAGCTGTTTTCCCCGATTCCATCGCACTGTTTAAGCATGATGGAGATTGGCTAGAGCCCTGACTTGTGGAGGATTAACTCACCTCTAGTAGTCATTTAAAGTGTGCTAATTAATTTTTGGATCAACATATTTTTTGTGCCCCCCACATGCCCTTAAAATGCAAAAAATGCGATTGCGGCCGAACGCGCCTCGTATATTTCAATGGTTTTATCGATTTTTTTAGATGACTTGGCAACCGCGCAAAGTCAATTTTCGGTTTTTAGGAACCATTCATATGAATGATAAGGGAAAAATATTAGTATTTCGGATGCGGGCGGTTTTCCCCCCATTTGCAAGCTCACAGTTAGGCCGAATTGCTCGATTTGGTCGAAATCACGTCGATTTTCGACAATTTTTTGCACGACTTGGCAAGCATTTAAAAAATCGGGCTTTCAATTTTCGTAGACTCTTTTGAGTAGGATAAGAGGATATAATTATTATTTTGCTGGGGGATGTTTTTCTACCTATGCAGGGCCCTCACCAAGCCAGAAAAACACGATTTTTAGCGACTTTTCAGCGGTTTTAGACGATTTTTTTCAGTGACTTGGCAACCACGCAAAAATTTGACCCTTCAATTTTCAGACACTCTTTTCATGGCAGAATAGCATCCCGTAAAACGTTTTTCGTTTACGTCATTTTTTGTACATCCACAGAGGCAAGAAAAATATGACTTTTTGCTCCCATTCATCGCTTTAAAAACCTTAAATATTTTAACTCTTTTGTTTACATATTAAACTTTTACTTCCGGAAATTGACTTTTTGCGTGGTTGCCAAGTCATCTAAAAAAATCGATAAAACCGTTGAATTATACGAGGCGCGTTTGGCCGCAATCGCGTTTTTTGCATTTTTAAGGGCATGTGGGGGGCACAAAAAATATGTTGATCCAAAAATTAATTAGCACACTTTAAATGACTACTAGAAGTGAGTTAATCCTCCACAAGTCAGGGCTCTAGCCAATCTCCATCATGCTTAAACAGTGCGATGGAATCGGGGAAAACAGCTTGAATCACGTAATTTTTTGACACAAAGTGCAGAAGAGGTACCCCAAGATACTTTTTTTTCGAGGAACGCTTTGGCACACTTTAGTTTGATGCCTAGGCGCAACTTTTCGCCCCTATACCTTTTTGAAATTCGAAAGTCGATGTTTTTTGACTTGCCCTAGGGGGTTGGCTTCGAAAACTCTATTGTCTATTAACAAATCAACTGATAAAGTAGTAAATATTTCAGTTCTGTTTCCAAGGCCACAGTCATGAAAGATAAATTGCAATATCAGTATTGAATCATCCGAATAATAAGAAGTACGCATAAGGAAAACACTTGCATTAAAAGTGGTCTTCACACTCCATTCCGTTTTACAACACAAGAAAGTGTGGATAGACTAACATTTGCCAAACAGCCATCTCAATTGCATATATAAATTGAAGGAATCCTCAGATGCACACACAGAGGCAGCCGATCTTTATCCTGCTCGTGGACCTGGAATACGTAAATTTGAACTCCTTCAGCTTTCTGCCACTCCAAACGCACTACACCTAAAGCTAGAAACGCTCGCCGGAACTCGCTTTCCGACTCCTCTACCTCCAGCCGCTAGACACGGTGGAAGGACACCCTGAGGAGCACACAATTGGGTAATTCTCTGCTATTTCTACTATTTCAGCCCGAAATTTCCGAAAAATGAACTCTCAAAGACGCCCCGGCAGATATGTTTTTCTGAAACTTCACGTAATGTGTCACTCGGAATCAATAATGGTTTCTACAAGAAACAGAGTTTCAGTCTTTCCCCAGGCAGGCAGAAATTATGAACCTGGATAAAATCTCAACACGGTCCCTCCGTTTTTTTGTCTTTATTTTTTATAATTGTCCTCCCAAATGTTTTCAAACTCTATGGAAATGTGTTGTAAATGCAATGAATTTTCAAAAAAAAGCCCTCTAATAGTCAGGAAAGGAATTATCTTTAAAACTGGGCAGATTTTGGGAAGAAAAACTGAAATATATTATAATTTCTTCCTACCAATTTCTTTATTTTCCTGGTGGATTTTTGTATAGAATACAGTCAATTTTTGTAAAGGTGTTTCAGCAATTTAAGTTGTAAAAAATCCGTTTTGGTGCTAGAGGAACTCATATTTCTTTCAAAATTAAGCCGCACCAAAATGGGGACTGAGTTGAGAGGAAGGATGAGATATAGAGATACATGTGATGGAGAGAGTGTTTAAGAGGAAATGGTGGGGGGAGGAGGAAACGGGGAGAGAAGAGAGGCGATGAAGGGGGAGGGGGAAGGAGAGGAGGGAAGACAGACAGACAGACTCAAAGGCATAAGTGATCTCACACTCGGCTTGTCTGTCTGTCTGTCTTTCTCTGTATAATATATCTATATATATCCATCTGTCAATAAAATTACCGACCGCTTGACAAAATTCTATCCTGTCACTCGGACAAATTCAATAGGAAAAAGAAAGTAACAAACCCATTTAATGATAGCAGAAACTACTCATTTCAATGAGGACTTTCAAGAACTCAGTCCCCTCATAGAATACTACACTCAAGGGACTGGGTTGAGAATTCTGCTTGTTTTGATGGAAGAAAAAATTTGACGTCATGTTTAATGCCAAAACAAAACGTGCTCCTTGATTAGGACTAAATATTACGTTAAATATCTTAGAATAGTTGAATTTTGTTGAAGCTTTCCTTGTAATAATGTAGGGACTCAGTTGAGCTGGTTCAGGATGGTTTTCACGTTCACACTTAAAAAAAATACCTAAACACGTTCTTGTCAGTTATCACAGTGATTGCACATATGTGAGGTAAAAGGATCACACTGAATAACAACAACCACTTGTTTTTTACAAACAGCGCCCCTGGTAGCTCCCGTATGAAGCAAAAAGTAGGGGCACTGAGTTTCGATGAAAACCTTGTAACAAGCCTTCTGCCTCATCTCACGACGGGAATATTGTCAGTTTTCTTAAGGCAGACTAAAGAAATAAAAAGTAGAAGGTCCATACATTCTAAAAATGTCAAGTAGGTTAGTTTCGGTTTCCAGCATCCCATAGCCGTTTGAATTGTGGAACCTCAGTTGTGTGATAGGGACTGAGTTGAGATTTTCTGCCCTTCTCTGCCTGCTAGGAAACAGGGTTGGTTCTATGATGTTTTTCGAGTATGTGTCTGACGTAGGAAGTTATTCTGCATCAAAAGTAATTTATGTGAACTTTGTTGAGTGATATGTGTGCCAGAAAAGCCTGTGCGACAGGAATAGTAGAAATAGCAGAGAATTACCTGCTTGCAAACTCGAACTCCTTTTGACCGTTTGTGGATAAAGCGAGTACCAGAGCAAGTTCTTCTATTGAGTTTTGGAGCAAAATAATGGCCGCTTGCTAACTGGACTGCCATGGAAAATGTTCATAAATTGTATTTTTCTTCTCTCGCTTCCACAGATAAATCCCTATTTTCACTTCATTTTGTTTCATGCGAACCAGTTTATTGAGGAAGGATGTTGAAGAATTATCTGCACAAAGCTCTACTGTAGCTGTAAAATTATTATCTAATCTGATGGAACACCAGTCTTTTCATTTTGATTCTAGTCTCACCTCTGTCAACTTAATTGTGAAGTCCTTAGCAACCCAGAGCATTGCTAGCTGCAACATCTGTAAGTATTCTGCCTTCCTTTCATATTATATATTGACTCTTCAAATTATAATAAGCAGTTATCAGGTCACGTTTATTATAAACAGAAAACATGGCTAAAAATGACAAATAAAAAACCAAAACGTTTCAACTGACTACTCAGCACTCAGCAACTCCACTCTCTATCAAAATGAAAAACAAACCAAAGTAAATATAAATAGGGATAGGGAGACCAATTGCAGCTCCTGCTAGGTTGTCGATTGATGCAATGACTTTAGGGTTAAGGTTCAGTCCCCGCTGTTTCGCCAAAGCGTTGTGTCCGTTTCGATTTTCTCTTTCGTAATTTCAGTATTTAGTTTATTTTTTCGAAAAGTTTTGCTTCTGTTGGTTTTGTTCTTCTATCTAGGACTTTTCCCAAGAAGTGTTCCTTCGTTCGTTTCCTTCCGTTTTCATCTTAACTTTTCTTTCTCTCTTCATCACATTTGTGCTGTACTTAACCTCAAAGATGATCCTAATCACCTAATCCGTTACCAATTATGTAAGTCCTTTTTCTTATACCTCATTATGCCTGATCAAGAAAAAACCCCAGATCCTGGGGGCAACCCTGATCCCCAGTATTTAACTAGTAGAAACAACAATAATAATGATCAAACTACTCAAAGCCCTACTAATAATAACAATCAATCTGCGGCCCCTCAATCTACAGGTAATCGTAATGCTTTCATTATAAAAAGATTAAATGACATTCGTTACGAAGAAGATGCAACAGGACCCTGTATGGTAGCTATTAGTAAACCTGGTATCGGTAATAAACACCCAACCCTCATTGGAGAGTTCCTATATAAATCTAAAATCTCAGGGTTGAAAACGATCCAAAGAATAAACAAGGACCTCATCCATATCGAGTTAGTAACGAGAGAACAAGCAAATAATTTTCTTAATGATGATAACAACACTCTCCCCTATGAAAATGTTAAATGTTTTCTGCCATTAAAGTTCACTACCAAGAGGCTAATAGTAAACAACGTCCACTCAGACTTGGAAATAGAAAGTATTGGTCAATACCTGAAAGATAAATACAAAAGAATAATCAGTGTTAGAAGGATTTTCAGAAAAAATGACGATGGAGCCCTCATCCCCACAGAAAAACTAGACATCTTATGGGAAGGCACTACAAGACCGGATTACCTATACATCTTTTATTCCAGGTGCGCTACCTCCCCATATATCTATAGTACTGTTTTCTGTACTAATTGTTTAAATTACGGACACCGAGCCTTTTTTAAAGACTCCTTAATCTGCAAATCTCAGTCTCGGTGTAACAAATGTAGCGAATCTCATGCGGGACAAGACATTTGTCCTAACAACTTAAAATGTTTTCATTGTAAGGGGAATCACCAAACCTTTTCTCCAACATGCCCGGAAATGCATAAACAAAAGCTGATAAAAAAATATATGGCTACATACGACTTAAACTTCAAAGCTGCGCAAAATCTACTCAATACTTACGAAAAAGACTCGAAAGTAAACCTTACAGGTAGGATTGAAGAAATCCAAAAGAATATAAGAACAGTCGAATCAAACAATATTGAAAATATTCAGTCTTTAGCTAATTTCCCAGAACTTAAAAATAAATTTGTAAATCTGATAGACATTAATGCTATGGAAATAGATAATTACCAATATTCTATGAAGGATCTAACTAGACCTTTCTCTGAAATTGTGGCTTCTCCTTCTGCAACTAGAAAAAAACCGAAAACTAACTCCTTTGAAGATGAACTCCCATCAAAAGCATGGCTAGATAACTATCGCGCAAGTTTAAAAGAAGCCCCCCAAGCCATCCTTAATAAGACCGCAAAACCCAAAGAGATTTCGAATTCCCGAAACCCTTCCATGCAACAAACAAAAATTAACAATCCGAATACGCAAAGTAATCTAACTCAAGTCCCTTCTAATTCGAATAAACCAACCCCCCAACAATGCTCTGTAACTAATTCCCCCCCAACAAACTCATCATCAAAAATAACTAACCATCCTAATAATCTTAATATATCAATCCCAAAAACTAACTCTGTATCAACCCCAAACAATACGCTGAAACCTAAATAACACCTTCAAAAAAAAAAAAAATACTTAAATCAATCCTCCCTTGAATAATCTAAAGAAAAAAAAAAAAATTTAAAAAAAAAAAAACAATATATTCCAAACAAAAATATTACAATTTGTTTTATAATTCTTAAATATAGATTATCATTCAACACCAATGATATCTTCTAATTTTATAAAACCTAAACTAAACAATTTTAAAATCCTATGTTGGAATATACATTCCCTCCTACCGAACGATGTAGACCTGTCTTTCCTAATCCACCATCACGACCCAGATATAGTAATGCTTTCTGAAACCTGGATGAAACCCCACTATCGAAAAAGATTCCCAGGTTATAATTGTTTCAGGGATGACAGAGGAGACGGCTACGGAGGCCTTATTACCCTAATTAAAACTAAATATATCTCATACCCAATCGCTTTAAACCTAAATGGACCGCGTTAAACAGAAAGGAACCAAGCCACATCAGCTATTGCCAAATTTATTTGGGCAATTCAATTTTTTACCCAAGAATGGTTATGCGGATTTTTCTGCAAATTTAAGTGAATTTTCTTCTTAGTACGCAGCAAATTCCTCAAAAATGTCAAAGGAATCCGCCAAAACGTTCTCTTGTAAAAAATAAAATTGCTCTATTAATTTTGGCAATATCTGATGTGGCTTGGTTCCTTTCTGCTTAACGCAGTCCAAATGTGTTTGCAGATGAGCGAATAGAAGCTCAATTATCTAAAATAATAATTGATGGCAGCGATTTCTTTTTCATAAATTTCTATATCCATCCAAACAGTAAAATATCAATAGAAGAATTACGTAGTTTTTTTCAACTAAACGATTTATCTAATAAGACTTTTATACTCTGGGCGGGCGATTTCAATGCCAAACATCCTGTTTGGGGATATCCTACTAGTGACAGAAGAGGCACTGAGATTTTTGATTTCTCGCAACAACAGAACCTCTTCAATATTAATTCTATATTCCCCCAACCTACTAGGAGAACAGCCCCAGGGGAAAACAAAAGTTACACAGATCTTGCCTTCTGCTCAGTAGCTTTAGCTTTAGACTTTGATTGGGAGTCACTAAATTCAGGAAGTAGTGATCACTTCCCCTGCCTTTACACCTATAAGAAGAACTCCGAGAGAATATCAAATCCATCTGAGCAATCTAATTTACTACCTCTGAAATCTTTGAAAAACTGGACGACATACAGAGAGGCATTGGATAGAGTCCTGGACCAACCCTTCTATTCCTACGATCTTTTCATAGAAAAAATAAACGAAGCTCTTAACGTAGCAGTTAATAAGGAAAACAAAAACAATCCCTCAACTCCCCAAACAATAAATACTACCCCCATCAAAGAGAGAAAAAAAAGGTTTAAAAAAATACCTTGGTGGAACGAGGAATGTCAAAAATTGAAAGATAAGAGAGACAACTTAGCAACGAACTATAAGCTTAATAACGATTTAAACACTTACATCGAATATAAAAAAGCCTGTGCCGAATTTAAAATTATGATCAGGAAAAACAAGAGACAACAATGGAGAATATTTATGGATTCCTTAAATTATAATACTCCGACTAAAATCATATTTGAAAAAATTAAAATTCTCAACAAGGCACTGATACCTTTCGCTAATACCAATGAGGATTGGGTCGAAGACTTCCTTGCTCACCTGACACCTGATGCTACGTTCGAAAAACAATGGACGGAGGAAACCATCTTTACCAATAACCTAGAAAAATTTTGTATCGAAGAACTCAAAATAGCTCTCAAAAAATTAAAAAAGAAGAACCCGGGTCTTGACAGGATCCAAGTAGACTGTTTAATTCAACTCTCTCCCAAAGGTCAAAATATTTTACTATCCATTTTTAATCAAATTCTTCAGACAAAAAAAATTCCAGAAGCATGGAAAATGATAAAAATCTATCCTTCATTGAAAAAAGATCAAGATCCTAAATTAAGGACCTCATATAGACCCATCGGTATTATTTCAGCTGTCAGGAAACTCTTTGAAAAAATGATATTAAACAGACTAGAATATGAATTAGAATCAAAATTTAAACTCTCCCCCTATCAAGCTGGATTCCGGAAAGGAAAAAACATTTATCAAAATCTATGGAATATTTCCTCAAATGCATATAAGGCATTGGGAGAAAAGAAATTTATGCCATGCTTATTTTTAGACATAAATAACGCTTATAATAATGTACAATATCATATTTTGCTAGACAAATTACGAGCGCTAGGTATTAATATAGACTTAGCTAAAATCATATTCAATCTTATTACTAATAATAAAGTGACCTTAGCATATAATTTTAAAACTTGGGGACCGCGAGTTCAATCAAAGGGGTTAACCCAAGGAGGAATGCTAAGTCCTATCCTATATTTAATATACACAGCAGAGGTACATAAAAAGTTACAACATTCATCCATTTCAGAATTCGCAGACGACATAGCTATCTATTCCCTAGATGAAGATCTAAATGTAGCGGTCACAAAACTAACATCTGACTTCCATGAAATCCACTCGATAATTAATTTGTTAGGTCTCGACTTTTCACTTTCTAAAACAAAATTCACAATATTCACAAATAGAAAGATACCCCAAAATTTTACAATAAATCTTTTGAATACGATATTAACAGTCCAAGAAACGGTAAAATATTTAGGGCTGCTGTTCCACAGAAAAATGAACTGGTACCACCATGCTCTATGGGTAAAAACCAAAATTGCTACCAAACTTAACATCCTTAAATACCTCCATGGCTCGGCGTGGGGAATTAACCAAAATGTATCTCGTTTACTCTTTCTAAGTATGATTAGACCCATAATGGACTATGCTCTACCTATATATTGTAATGACTATAAAATTAGCAATAAAATCAATATAATCCAAAACAATTGCTTACGAAAA